CCCCCCCCCCCCGATAATTATACCAGCAATCACACTGTACCCAGACATTTTTCGTTTACGAACGGGTAAATCCGCCAGATATTTCATCCACACCAGTTAACCGTTTGCATTGAAAGACGGTGGATTTATTGCAAGAAAGGAATAAAAGGCGTACACAGACCACACTTCCAAATTATCACTACAACGGTTGGGGAAAGAAATCCCCGTACAACAAGCAAACGCACATCATATGCCTCACACGATGCAGAAACTAATCCATTATTTACTTAAAGAGGACACCACTAACAGGACTGCTGAAGTATATCCGGCGTTATTCGGGCTCGTCAAACGCACACAGTTTCCCATAATTCGTTCCACTTGAAACGTTACGGAATAATCCGAATACACTGACTTGCACATCAGCTTGGTTTGAACGACAGACTCAACAGAATCTCAGCCGAATCTGGCGTTTGTGATATTTTTCAAGATAATGTGTTGAGCTGAAGGCACCCAGGTTTATTATTATTGTGAGGAGGGTGTCGAGGTGAACAGACCAACAATCATCGGATGTGCAAACTTCAGTCATTGAATCTTCGGCATAAGAGGAACCGACCGGGGTCCGTTGAAGTAACGGTTATGAAGCTTGTTTCCTATAATCTAACACTTGGATGGTGGTCCGAAATTCATTCACATTTCTCAGCAACGGAATTTCAATCCACGTAATTTCACGTGTGAATTTAGGTGGTATAATCAGTGGTACCACTTTTGTGTTGTTTGTGAATGTCGGGATGATCAGTTCAGATGTTCGTAGGCCACACCAGTAGTCAGCTGGATCAACTGATCGCAATCCGCTGGAATAATATCGGTGTTATTACGTGAAGCTTTACGATCTGGTTCTAGGATTTCCTTGATTTTCCAGTTTTCTGAGACAATGTGCTTCCGGTGATAGAGCGAGATAAATCAGACAAACCCTGAAGGAGATCTTCACCTCCAAAATTGAACAGTTCTAGTGATACCTCATGCAAACCCGGTGCTCCGTGGCGCTTCAGAGAACGTTTGTGACCACGTCCTTCTGACATACATCCATTGCTTGTGGAGACCCACCACGGTGGTTATCCCTGGTATAATGTCCGGATGCTTGAGATGCACATATATGTTGCAAAACAAGCGGCAGTTGGCTAGTGGTTTACCTGTACCTTATGATTAATTTTGGCTCGGAGTTGGCACGTTGTTGCAGGAAACCATGTGGCCAGATGCTTTCGATGATTTCGTAAATTGGCACTGCAGAACAGTCTGCTGCAGTTGTTTGTGCGCACCCAGTCGGATCCAGCGCTGCCACCCAAACGAGGCGCAGAAGTTATATCATGCCCCAGGTGTGCATTAAACCCCACGTCAACCGAAACTATATCTAATCTGTTAGATGTCGCATCAGGATTACGTGTCGGTTGACACGTAAACGGAAAAAATGAACAGATACCCACCTCTGAGTTTTCTTCCCGCACACAAGCAACTACCATCGGCTATCCAGTTGAGCAAGAATCTCTCATCTCAATAGATCAAGACGATTCCGCCTTTTGCATATTCTGATACAGTATTATCTGAATCGCCAGATGTTTACAGCAAGACTGGCTTTGAGGTTGATGAGACCTCAAGTACCATGTAGCTTTGTGGTAGACACTTTTTTGCCATTCCTCAGCGAATGCTTTATTTCAGCTTAGCGTTTGCTACATTTCGGAATCTCCTCAATCGATTTCTCTTGATGAGATTGCCTCATCTACCGATTATTCTGGAGTACAGAAGCCCCCAGGTTTGTATAACGCACAGTCTTATGAGAACGCCGCTAAGAAGAGCTGACGTATTGATCAATATCTAAAAGATGAAAGGGCGATTTATGTGGATGTGAAGCATCAGACAACCGTGGGTTTAGTCGAACCCCTTAGTTTTGCCGATGGATTTTATTCCCCCGAGACCCTCATCCTTACCTAGAAAAGGAAGAAGTATGCAGCCACCCACAACATCTGCTGGATCTGCTCAAAGAGCTGACGTGTACCACTTTTCACAAATCACTAAAAGAGAGCATGACAAATTACACAACATCGAGTGGCGTCTACTCCGGCGTGGACTCTCTGGCATGTCTTCCCGGTCATTCCTGCGTCATAATTAGCTCCGGCAGTCAGAAACGTGTGGCATGTTCACCGTGATCAAACGATTTATGTCATGGGAAATGTGGCCAGTGGGTATTTTGATTCATATTCGGCAGTTATGTCGGTTCACGACAATATTCAATGTACTTGAAACAACGGGTATGCCAGAGAACTTGTGAACGACCCAGTCGTCTTGTTGACACCGTCTTCAAAAATTCTAAGGCACTCGCATATTCGCATCCTACCACACAGTTTGCGAATATTTAAGTGCGATACTGTTCAAAATGAACGATAGCGGCAAACCGTGGACAATGGAACCTCTGAAAACTCATTGCTTTTAAACTGTCCGTCCTTGGAATGCACGGTTATTTTGACAAGTAAGATAACTCATTCGCATATCGTTTTGGTTTTGACGGGAGACTCACCTGGAAAGAAACTAAACCTTTAGTTTATGATTATCCCATCCCTAGTGTATTACGCCCATGCAAGTAGGACAGAATTAATGAAGTGAATGACAGAATAAGGCTTGAACTGCTCTTCCGCACTTGCTAGTCATAAATCCATTCTTAACATATTGCTCAACTTCCCGGGAAGGACTCGTTTATTCTTATTAATTGAACTGTGCAGCTGCATCGGACAAGTCTTTTATTCAAATTTGTTTTGGGGCAGTGAACAGTGGCCTGATCAACTTCTTGCAACGGAAACAGTGTTGTAACCAACCATGTGGAGGAAATTATCAGTATTTTTTCAACCAATAAAATGGTTTCAGGGCCACACAAGGGGCATTTCCAAGATCCATTCCTTGGGTGACATTCTGTCAACTGATTGATTCTAGGTAGGATCGTTCTAGTTATGTTTTGAGATCCTCTTTGAAACTATGGATGGCAGCGAAAGTTTCACACCCTATCTGTTCATAGTGAGCAAATTTGGCAGGAGCTGGAATTCATTTACTAATGTTCTGCCAGGCGACATCCTAGTGAGAAACCCCTGATAACAAACTTGGTTGGTTGCGTATCACAACGCTAATCAGGCGCGCTTTGCTTTTTGTAAATACCGAAGCGCTTTGAACTACCTGAGAATAATATCTGTATCCAGCAACCGCATTGGCCGAGACGGGAAAATTGACACCGCTTTTCTGTGCAGAGTGGTGAGTCATAATCTGTTAGTCAGTGTGTTTTGATCAAAGTAGATACGTAGGTACTTAGGTCAGCTATCTTATCTCATGTTCAGAAGTTTCTGAATTTAATGAATTTGAAAGTTTACAAGTTTGCCTGCTATCCAGCGGGCCTCGTCAAAACTCAGTGAACTACCGTGAAGGCTGACAAGAGTGGACATTTTAGTCAGACTGCCGGTGTAATTCTGGAATGCTCCCATTGAAATTAAGCTGGTGAAATCAAACCTTGCACGAAATCCTGATCAAGACTTCGTGGTGCCGATGAGCTGGATTTTATATACGATTGAAGCATCACTAGAACACTTGTTTGAAAAAGATTACTGTGGCATAATACGACACAAGTGAGCCTTCTATCCATGGTATTTTCAAGACTTATTGAAGAC